GTTTTCATGAGTGCTCTAGAGAATGCCCAATTCCCATAGAAAGCGGCCTCCACTTCCACACTCATATAGGTGAATCCATGAAAGATGTCCAGCAGTGCGACACGCCATCCTAGGCCTTACATCATTCAGGCAAATGGAATCATTAAGAGTGAAGCTCAACCTCTCGATTCATTGCAGTAAATATACCACACAGCTAGGGATGGGGTAGAAATTTTATAAATTTCCATAATATAAAAATTTTGTGGAGCCCACAACCATCAGACATCACACGAGCGACTTGTTTTCCCCTTGAACCTTGGACTTGGGATCTCCTTATCCTAGGTAGGATTCCCATCATCCTGTAGCAAAAATTCATTTGGGATTAATCCCATCCCTCTAGCTTTCTTCCAGACTTGGTTCTTTGCAAGGTTTTTCTCAAAATTCTACCCAGTACTAGGTATCGCTGATATGGAGTACAACTATGACTCCATTTCAAGCATAAGTCTCAACTGATTGTGCCTCAAGTGAGTATAATTGGATTTCTCGAAGTAAATCCCTAACCATTCGCTTTGTATATAAAACTTCACAGTCACACCGTATGAGACTGCAGGCCTGGGCCATGAACAGGTGGTACGTCTACCAACAAGGTCCTTAGCCACTTAGCCTTCACACAATGGGTTCCAAGGCAATTTTCTCCAATCATTTGGAGATACAAGTCTTCCTCTTAGAATCCATAAAATACACCCCAACCACAAGTGGAGGTACACCTGAAAGTCACAGATTCATAAGAATCCTGAAAACATCACTGTACCTTCCAATACAGCGGGTTCATCCACATAATGTAGGCCATAGTTTATGGTTCCTTTGAGATAACTTAATACCCTATAGACAGCATTCCAATGATCTTGACTGCATTCCAATGATCTTGACCTGGGTTACTCGTATATCTACCCAATTTACCCACAGTAAAGGCTATATCTGGTCTAATGCATGACATTGTATACATTATACATCCAATGACTCTGGTATAGTGAAATTAGGATATAGGACCTTCACAATTCTTTCTAAGTTTAATGTGAGCATAATAAAGTGATGAAACTGGCTTGGAATCAAAGTGATCAAAGCTTTTGAGCACTTCCTCTATCTAGTGGCTCTGAGTTAAAACATAGCCAGTCGGATGTCTCACTATTTTAATTCCAAGTATCACATCTGTTAGCCCCATGTTTTTCACATTAAATTCAGAAGATAATAAGTTCTTTGTGTCCTTGATGCATGTAATATTGCTGCCTAGTATGAGAATATCATCTACACATTGGCAAATTATAACTACTGCACTATCACAAACCCTAGTGTACACACACGTATCAGCATCACTAATCTGAAATCCGTGTGATAAAATAATTCTATTTAATTTTTATGCCATTGCTTGGGTGCTTACTTCAAACGGTATAGGGATTTCACAAGTTTGCAAACTTGTGCTCTTGTTCCTTAAGGACAAACCCCTTAGGTTGATCAACATAAATTTCTTCATCTAATTCACCATGAAGAAAAAAAGTTTTGACATGGAATACAGAGTTCAAGATAAGGAGAACTCGAATGGTAGAATACAAGCAACAAGTGCATAGGTATCAAAAAGATCAACACCTGCCTTTGTTTAAACCCTTTCGCAAACAATCTTGCTTTACATGTTCAATGGTACCATCCACCTTTATTTTCCTTTTGAAAAACCATTTACAATCTAAGGGCTTAGCACCATGAGGTAAATATGTCAATATCCAAGTATCATTCTCCAATATTGATTTCATCTCATCGTTGACTACCTTCCTTCATAAAGGAGCGTCACCAAGGACATGGCCTTTTGAAAGTTTTAGGATCTTCTTCCAAAAGGTACAACTGGAAATCAGGACCAAAAACGTTGGCTTCCTGATACTCTAGCCTCTCCTGAGTTCTAAGTGCTTAGGGTTTTCACGCTCACCAACTTTACATTTACATTGTCGAGCTTCTTATTCATTATCCTGCTCACGAATGAATGTGTGTTCAGAAAATTCTGCATCCTTGGACTCTATTACCACGTTTGACTCCAGGTCCAGAAGTCTATATGCATTGTTGTGCTCAGCATAGCCCACAAAAACACACATAAGAGAACTAGGTCCAAGTTTGGGCCTCTTAAAGTTAGGAAGCCTTACTAGAAATCTAGTACCAAACATGTCTTCTAAGGCGTAAACGCAATTAAAAAAATATCTCTTGATATCGAGGGCATAAGGACCTCACCGGACGTGAATTTAATTCAATGTCCCTATGCCAAAAGTCTTAACAGTGATGGGGTAGTCCTTGTATAAGACAATGTCACCCCCACCATTCTATAGGTCCCAAAAACAAGCTTCAAAATTGAACATGTTTGGCAGCTCTTCAGATCATCCCCTACAACACGGACTTTGGAGATCATAACAAACGATATACATCAGTCACTTAAGCATAAGGCCTTTGCTTCTTTCGAAGTCTACAAAAAATCATCCAATTTATAAATAAATTGGAACCTCTGCTACCATCTTAAATGACTTGCATCTTCAGAACTGATCTGACCTTACAAAATCCTGGGTTATTACTTTTAATGATTTTCCAACAGTCATCTCGTGGATCAATACTTCAAAATTGATATGCTTAGAGATGGTGGATAACCTGACAAATGATGAATAGCCTAACAAACGGTTGATAGCCTCACTAACGATCGATGGCCAGACTGACGATCGATAGCTTAACTGATGATCAATAGCTTAACTGACGGTTGATGGCCTAACTGACGATCGATACCTTCACTGACGGTTGATAGCCTAACTGACAGTCGATAGCCTTACTGACCGTCGATGGCCTAACTGACGGTCGATAACTTGATTAACAATTGATAACCTGACTTATAATCCAAAATCTGACTTACAGTCGATAGTCTGACTTATTGTCCATAACCTGACTTATTGCCCATAATCTGACTTACAGTCGATAGTTTGACTTACGGTCGATAATCTGACTTACAGTCGATTGTCTGACCTACACTCGATAGTCTGACCTACAATTGATAGTGTGACTTTCAATCCATAGAATCTGACTTACAATCGATAAATAGCCTGAGATAAATAAGCTTAACGCACAGTCAACAATCCTCAATGCAGACTCAATAAGCCTTGATGCACAGTCAATAATCCTTGACGCATAATAGATAATTCGACACACGGTCATAATTCTAACTGATGCCCGATAAGCTAACTTACGCTTGATAGGCCTTACTTACACTTGATGAGCCTGACAGACACTTTATAAGCTTTACTTACGCTTGATGAGCCTGACTGTTGCTCCATAAGCCTTCGTTACGCTTGATGAGCCTAACAGACGCTCGATAAGCCTTACATACGCTTGATGAGCATGACCGACACTCCATAAGCCTTATTTACGCTTGATGAGCCTGACTGACGCTTGATGAGCCTGACAAACGTTCCATAAACCTTACATACGCTTGATGAGCTTGACTGTCGCTCCATAAGCCTTACATACACCTTACATACACTTAATGAGCCTGATTGTCACTTCATAAGCCTTACATACGCTTGATGAGCCTGACTGTCACTTCATAAGCCTTACATATGCTTGATGAGCCTGACTGTCGCTTTATAAGCCTTACTTATGTTTAATGAGCCTTATTGTCAGTGAATAAATCTTCACTTTCTCAATACCCGAAAAATTTATGCAGCACCTCCATTAGTCCGGGATAGTGCAAGGAAAAGAACCAAAACCTTCCTAATACAATTTAGACTCCCATAGGAATCAGAGCATGTTTCAGAGGTTATATCTGGAAACCGAAACACTCTTAGTACCGGTTTGATTCCCGTAGGAATCGGAGTAGGATTCAGAGGTAATACAAAGTGACAGTGCAAATCCAGAATCTAGTCTTACACAATCCTGGTCCTCATAATTAACGAGTCATCAATAGATATCTCCAAAAAAACTTCCGTTTAACACTTTGAAATTGTTAATAAGGGGGCCCCACCGTGGTTTACCATATGAACTCTCAATACGGAACCAAAAAACGGGGCATCTGGAGGCACGAGAGGAGCTCGTTTTCTTCGAAGTGTTAAACACCCCCGTCTCGATAAAATTCCGAGGTACAAATGGATTCCGGCGAGTATACTCCCAGTATACAACCGGATCGAAAATAAATTCTTGAGTCCTTGAGTTGCATACTCAAAAGACCTGTACAAAACCACAGTTACAAAATACTGATGTCTTTCTAACTGGTATGATACTATAAACATCAATTGAAAATAAACATCTCTCACTACAAAATCATCATCCAATCGGTATAATTAAACATTGATTGGGTAATGAAGTACATGCATGATCATCCCGCACCAAAATAAATCATAAATATAATAGAAAATGTTACCTTAAATTTACGTGAAGTTGGTGCTTCACTATCTCTTACTAGAGAGAGAATATGAACCTTATAAAAGAGAAAACATTCACTGTTTTCATCAAAAACCCAAAGCCTTACCTACACATTCATTTCTCTCCTATTGTTTCTCTCACCCATACCTCTCCTGCATCAGAATGAGAATTCATTGAAGGAAACTTGCCATTTATAGTCATTTTTAATGGTATCAACTCTACTTAGACACGGGGCCGAAGCTACCATCTAATCAAACTTTTGTGAACTACTTGTAAATGTGAGCAGCATCTTGCTGATCTCATTTAACTGTTTTCAATCAATTAAAGCTCGTTAAGGAGTGAGAGAGACATCTATTTCTTTTGAATAAGGAGAAGGTGGAGAACAACACACAGAAACTGTATTCTATCACATAGCCTACATAGAATGAAACACTTATTGCTAAGAAATTGAAGCACCACTCTAAACAATTTTCTTAGAAACCATTTACAGCAAAATAAAATGGCAATCCTCATCAAAAGTTATCGAATTTCTCCAAACGAATAAAGAGAGAATGAAGCAAATATTAGAGAGCACCAAATCTTACCTGTGATGGCAGCAGAATGATGAGAACCGGCTGATACTTGGACAGCTTTCTCAGGAATACTAACAACTTCAAGAGGTTCCTGTGCATATATAGCCAGTTCAATAAAATCTTAAAAAAGTAATTCGGACAAGCAAACCAACCACCAATTTGATAAGTGACAAAAGAAAAAGAACTATTAGACGGAAGTCAAGTTATTGGATAGGTCAACTGATAACTAGTTTGATAAGTGACAAAAGAAAAAGAAATATTAAGCTAATGCCAGCATGCAGCATAAAAATGTGTTGCAACAGCTCTAGTCAATACTTACCCAAAAAAAAAAAGAAGCTCTAGTCGATGATGTTACTATAATTAAGCACTAAGCAGGCTTGTGTAAACAGTGAACTTTCTACGACACTTGCAAGAGAGAATGTCTACTAGTACATTGCCCATGCTGGTCTGTGATTTTTTCAAATTGAAAGCTAAAGCGATATTGAACATTCAAGAATAGTTAGCAACCAAGGGTTCTAGTTCTAGGCCTACACAACTTAATTTCCGAATAAATTTTCTCCTGGTGATGATCCAAATTAGTACAAACAAACATAAAAATGCGAAGGTACAGAAAGAAAAAGCTTGCAGGATACATTTTCATAGTTATTGGTGATCCCTGAATCTTAGAAAGCCATATATCCCATATCCAGCCAATGTTTCCACACAATATTACTCAATGCAGCAGAAAACAATGATTTTTTACAATATTGCCAATGCAATTCAAAATATAAGCATATTAGGAATTGAGACCAACAATTCCTCCTTTTTTACTTCTCAAGCCAACAACATCTCTTCATTAAATCTAACTCGTGATAGAATACTTGATTCGTTGAGATGACATGTTACTCATGAGGTCAAAATATTCCCAGACATCGACATTGAGCAAACCAACATGCTGTCCTCACAAAATGAGATGTTCCTTATAGTGACACACTTAAGATACTAATAAAACAAAATGAGATATTCTTACTTATACTGGCACTCAAGACACAAATAAAACTAAGGGACGTCATCTCCAGTAAAGTTAGATCCAGCATAGTGGGCTGCAAAGGATTATTATTGCACGAAAAGGAATATTGCTGCATGAAACTAAAATGAGATACCACCAATCAAGGAGAAGCATAAACGTACAAGAGCATGGCTCACAGCCGCGGATATTCCCAACTGTCCAAAATCATTCAAACCAGTAGCAAAAACGCGCCCTGTGTCTGTTCAAGAGGGAAGATATAGCTCATAGCCTGTCCACTTTACAGAACTCAAAACAAAACCATATGCAGTGATATAGCCAGAGATACCATCTTAATGAAATCACATTGCAGCTGAATTCATGACAAAAACAAAATAAGGAACAAAATAAATCAACCAAGCATAATTTGGTTAAATTCATCCACCTATCATTCAAAAAGTGTGGAAATATCATAACAATAATAGAATGACACCATATGAGCAACTAAATAATGATGTCTAAAAGCATCTTGCTGGACCTGGACATGCCCAGTCCAGTAGTCCCCTCATTGGTGAAATCAAATACTCAATGTCAAAAGAATAAAAATATCAGTTAAAATGAGATGCCTACCTTAAAACATTCAACAATGAGACCACAATTCACATCCTAAATCAAGAATTCAGACTCCTATGGTGATCTCACTAAGCACACTAAAAACTACAAATCCTGACAAGAAAACCATCTGGTGACGCATTTTGATGGACTAGAAAAGAGAGAGAGATACCAGTTAAGAACAGAGTATGAGCCCCACCACAAGCAATAGCACATGGGTTCTCTCTTTCTAAAGCTTTGCACACAGTGGGAACCCATTGAGACATCAGAGAGCCTAAACCCAGTCTCCCATAGTCTCCATTTCCCCAAAGAGCTGCAAATCTAAGTGAATTACTAGAAAACCATCTCTTGCAATACCCAGAACCATTGAGGCGAAAACCCAATATGGGTCGCCTCAGTTTTAAGCAGCACCTCCACATTTTCGCTCAGGGTGCATGAAAATCTTCATGAGAGAGAAACCCACTTAACCAAAACTATGGAAGAGAGAAAAAAACATGGAAACCAACTTATTTATGAGCATGCTCCATTTTCCAGAAGTCTGGTTTCTTTTGAACCGTGGTTCCCCAACAAGGCTGTGTTCCTTGAAAATTTGCTGTCAAAATTATGCCCACCCCGTTCCTTCGTGTTCTTTGATGACTTTGTAGTTGGAAGCGAAATTTCGGTACAGTGTTTCGGTGAAATTCGTCCGGTTTAGCAAGAGAACCAGAAAATCTTTGATGAACGTTGCTAACGTTCGAGGGCATTCGTGCGGGACATTTAGACTTTAGAAGAAGCGGAAAGATTTGCAGCACCTCGGGGAGCATATTGTCAAGAAAAGAATTAATTTTGAGGTTTCACTTTGACATCGGGGTGGCAATGGTCCCAGGCCCGACCCGGAACCCATGGGGTTTACCCGACATGGGTTTGGGTATGGGTCCAACATTTAGACCTGGCGGGGCGGATCCGTCAAAAACCAAGACTCAAATACTATTTGGGTTTGGGTCCGATTGGACCTGGGCCATACCCTTAAACTGTTGGAGATAGAATACTTCAAATCCTATTTATTTGAATGTATTAAGGATTGTATACAATAAGAATTCGTAGTCACCTTTAGCTATTAAACAACAAATCAGATGTTTTGAAATATAATGGCGAGTGATTGTGATCTTGTTCCCAATAATATTGGTATATGATTGTAAAAAAAAAGCAAAAAAAAGAAAAAAGAAGCTCATAGTGAGGGTGGCAATAGACTCGACTAGACCTAAGACCTAACGAGTATGGGTATGGACCCAACTTTTGGACTCGAATACTATTCGGGTCTGGGTCCGAGTCAGACCCGAACTGTACCCGACCTGCTGCCACCCCTACTTTGACTTGTAAATTGCAGATAAAGCATGTATCCACCATCATCAAGCTTAACCAAGATTCTTACTCTTGGTTGCGTCAAGGTTTACCTATTTCTTCTCGTTGATGGACAGTAGAGATCATGCCTTCAAGTGTTCCATGAGTTTAAAAATCGGGGTAGCATGGGTGAACTAGCCATCTAGGAAATTAGACTGTTCGGGAAATTAGTCTGGATCTAGTAAATCAATTTGGATCAACGTACAGAGTGAATTCACCAATTAAAAATAAAAATAATAATATGGGAATTGGGGAATTCAGTTAAGCTCGATCACCTAATTCCTTGACAAAACTGGCTGGTTCTGTCAAAAAACCAGCAAGTTCTGTAGGGAGGCAGTAGATTCTTGATTTCAACCAAGAACCAGATTAATTCCACCAATTCTCTATTTTGACCAAGAACTTGATCAATTCCACTGATCTTCAATCTGGATCAGCCTAATCCAATTCAAACCAAGATCAATGTTTTTTCAAACATTAGTTCCATGCAAAGACATGGCAACATTGGCCATAGTGACTTTTTGATAAGCAAAGGGAAAATATCATTCGAGGATTCAAAATCTCTTAAAAAATCATTAGGGTCAAAAGATTAATATTAGAAATCCTTTTTCAATCATGCACTTCTTCAAAAATATTTTAAAATATCTAAATAGCCCTTGTTTATGGTTGGGAACTTTGAGCAAGTAGGTGATTATTTGAGTAAGTACCTCGAGTGAAATAAAAACTTAAAATGTAAACCCACTTATATTAATTGGAATGTCTTCATCCCCTTAATGATTCTGAAAGGGGTTGTGACCCCATATATGACATTTTCCTTTAAGACAAAAAGCCACGCCAGATCATTAGGGTTTTTAACTAAACCTTGACTCCCGCACCCAAATTGATATGATGCTTTTATCACCAAAACAAGGCTTAAAAGATAGATTATCCCTGATCATTATCTTCAAAACTCTATTGGATACTTTGCTGAAGAAATAATTAGTTGTCAACCTGGTTCAAGCAATTAAAATAAGTTGTCTCAACAATTTGACAACCAGTCTTAGAAAAGGGATAAGACCATTTACTTTTGTTACAAGAAGCCATAGTTATCCCCAACCAATAGATATAGAAATGTACATTGATCACATTAAAAGTTTAGAAAATTTATTTTTTGAATTTTGTTCATAGAAATGAGAAGCCTCGACAATTCAACTTTACAAATTACGGCTTGGGTGTGAAAGAGAAACCATATTTTTTGTATTGAACTTGTGGGAAAAGACCCTATATATGTATACAGAGATTAGGGGTGGCAATAGGTCGGGTATGGGTAGGGTCCGGCTGGACCCGAGCCAAACCCAAATAGATTTAGGTCCAGGTTAAGGACCCGGACCCTTTGGGTTAAAAAATTGGACCCATACCCATAAGGTCTCGGATCTACCCCGTCAGGTCTTGGGTCCATTGTCACCCTCATTATGAGCTTCTTCTTCTTCTTCTTTTTTCCCTTTTTTTTTTTTACCATCATATACCCGCATTATTGGCAATAATATCACAATCACCCACTGTTAGATTTCAAGCAGTGTGATTTGTCCTTTAATAGCTAAAGGTGACTACTAGTTCTAATTATATACGATCGTTAATACACCCAAATGAATAGCGCTTAAAATAAACTATTTTACCTCTAGCAGTTTATGGGTACGAGTCGGATCTAGTCGGACCCGGACTCGGACCCGAACCTAAATAGTGTTGGGGTCCAAGTTTTGGATCCCGATCTGACCCGCTGTGTCCAAATGCTAGACACATACCCAACTCATGTCAAGTATACCCTGCAGGTCTCGGGTCAGGTCCAGGTCCATTGCCACCCCTAACAAAGATGGTATACAAAAAAGGGAAAGAAAATTATACAGCTGCATGATATACAAAAAAAAAGGTAAAAAAAATATATACAATTCCACAGTCCCCCTCAAACTCATGATGGTTAGAAGCGAATGATTGAGAGTTTGGAAACAAGGCTTAATAAACGATGAGCATTATGAGACTTCATAAAGAAGTCAACAAGTTATGCGGAAGATGAAATATATGGCAGAAAGATTGTCGCAGCTAAATATTCTTGTCGAACAAAATGATAATCTACTTTAATATGCTTGGTGTGCTCATGAAATTCTGGATTCTTAGTAATATAAATGACACTTTTATCAGCACAATATAAGGGAGTGGAAGTAGAATGTTTTACACCCAAGTCAGCTAATAACCAGCAAAACCAAACAATCTTTGTCGTTGTTTGAACCATGGCTCGGTACTTAGTTTCAGTTGTGGACTAGGTAATACGTTTTTGCTTCTTACTCTTCCAAAAAATAAGAGTCACCAAGAAAAATACAAAAACCTGATGTGGACTTCTGATCGGTAGTGCCCCACAAAATCAGAATCAATCAAGAATGGAAGATAAAGAGAACAACATAACACGATCAAGCATGTCTCAAATATAACGAATAATATGTAAAACGATTACCAAGTGTACAAAGTGAGAGGCACTCAATGTCTGATCGGGAAATAGTCAAATAAATCAAGCTTCGAATAAGTTGCTTTGCAAAATGTAGGATCAGGAAGGAGTTCACCATCTTATAATGGAGTTTGATATTCAGCTCAGTAGATATATCAACATACTTTGTGTCATTAGCTAGACGTGCTCGAGAAACAAAATTTATGGCATATTTAAGTTGAGAAAGTAAATATCCACTAGGAGAATAAGAAACTTCCAGGCCAAAAAATATTTTAAGAATCCCAAATCGTTCATCTAAAAAAGCTTGACTAACTTGGGACTTGATTAGATAAATGGTATAGGAGAATTTCACGTCCTCTAGGTGTGATTGAGATAAACATAGCAGTGTCATGATGGCTCTGTCGAAAACCTGCAAAGACAATATCATAACTAAATTTTTCAGACCAAGTACGAAGAGCTTGTTAAAGTCTATAGAGTGCGCGTCATAGTCAATAGACTCTATTGTCAGGATCGGAAATCCCAAGAGGCAGCTTCATATAAACTTCTTCTACAAGATCATCATTAAGAAATGCATTTTTTACATCAAGTTGATATAGAGATCATTGGCCAATAATAGCCACATAAATCAGAGTATGAACTGTAGTCATGTGGGCAACAAGAGCAAAGGTTCTAGCAAAATCAATCCCAAATTGTTGATTATAACCTTTAGCCACAAGTCGTACCAGCTTTAGTTTTGATTTTGTACACAACCAATGGCACTTTTGTCTTTGGGAAGATGAACAAGATCCCAAGCATGCATTATGTCAAGGTCATTCAATTTTTCTACCATAATATGTTGCCACTCAGGCTGTTTGATAGCTTCCTCATAAGTTTGTGGCTCAAAGTAAGAGTGAACATAAGCAAGAAATGTTCGATGCTTAGGCAAAAGGGTTCCATAATCAACAAAACGAGCAGGCAAGACAGGTACACGAGTATTGTGGCAGACATAAGGCACATTTACAGGAGCAGCAGGTGCAGGTGCCTGACTTGGTTCATTAACAGCAATTGAATGTTCTACAATCAAACCATCTGTAGGAGGTATGGGTAAACATTTAGACAAAGGAGAAACATCCTCAAAGAAAGGGACAAGAAAAAGAGTCAGTAGTAGGTGGAGGGGAATAAAAATGGATATGATCTGAAAATACCACTTGTTAGGATACATAAAGCTCCTTAGTCACGTGGTCATAACATCTATATCCCTTTTGGTGGTCAAGATAGCCCAAGAAACAACATTTAATTGCTTTGGTTGAAGATTTATTTCGTTCATATATTGACAACAGAGCAAAGCAAGTGCAACAAAAAACACAAAGAATATAATAGTCTAGGGGTTGAGCAAATAGTTTTTCAAAAGGGGGATATCCAGACAAGATAGCAGAAGGCATAATATGATCAGATAAATAGTTGCGTGAATAACTTCTGCCCAGAAAACCTTTAGAACCGAGGCTGACAAGAGAAGAGCTCATGCAATTTCTAAGATGTATTGATTTTTTCGTTCAGTAGTACCATTGTGTTCACGAGTATATTACAAGATCTTTGCCGTTGAATATTTTTGTCAAAAAAGAAATTTTAAAACATCCCACTAATATACTCCCCACCAGAATCTAATCATAAGGCTTTGCTTTTAGTAGAAAACTGAGTTTCAATGTACGAATAAAATTGGACAAAGATGTCATATAGTTTACTGCGGTTATTCATAAAGAAAACTTAAGTATATCTGGTGTGATCATCAATAAAAATTACATAATACCGTGATCCCCTCTTTGATGCAAGAGGAGCTGGTCCCCATACATCAGTCTTCACCAAATCAAATATAGAAGCATAAATTGAATTTATGCAGTTGAATGACAATACATGCATTTTAGAGAGTTTGCACGACTTACACTCTTTAG